TGCCGCCGCCGCTGCGCTCCGCCACGCACGAGGACTACTCCGTGCACGACACGCCTCCCGGACAGAAGGTACCTACTCTTTGACAATCATAATTATCACCTATACAAAGAGTAGCAACACTTCTCAACACTGTAATCTTAAGGTAGAGACATCCCACGTATTCCACTTGTTAGTTTTTTTAAACAAGTGTAATTGTTTGTTTCAGGGATCTCGCGTGTTCGAATCTCCAAAGACCAACATCTGGTGTTCTCCACCGGCGAGCGCTTTGCCCAATCCAACGGCATTGCTCACACAAGAAACTAAACGTGAGATAAATATTTTTACTTAACATGCTTACATAAAACACTTACAGCAAACAAACATAAATATAAAATTTGTTGCCAGGTCGCACTCGGCTGGCGGCGCAGTTCGATGCAGCATAATGTCATTCCAAACATATTAAAATGCATTCCTACGAGATGTACAAGCGAAATAACGTGTGTCGGATGTTTGGATGAGCTCATATAATGTATCCAAGGTTTGCAACGAATTTTATCAACAAGACAAATACCAAGTGTCCTAAGAATTGTGATGTCTATAACAATAATGTTTTAGATCGTGTATATTTTTGTGTGTTTATTTAGGTTAAGAGAAATATTTGCGTTCGTAAAATGTTATCAAGTGCTGCATACAAAATAGAATTCGAGTTATACAGGCTTTATGAATGGCAATAAGTCGGGAAAAGTATTTATTACTAAGATATTTCTCTCTGTACGATTAATTGTCGTTGTGTCCACAAATGGATTGTTAAAATATTATTTCTGCAGAATATTCTGTTCAGTTTAGCGTGAGTTTTTATGTAAATGTCTTCCTTTATACTTAAGTCTTCTTTTAGATATACAGGACATCTAAGATAAAGATTAACAAATATTGGAATTTACAACTTTATAAGTAAAGTTTAAAATAGTTAAAATTAGTAGATAAATTGTTGGAAAAGTACAAATTTTTGAATGTAGTTATTTGAATAATAAAATGTTATAATATTTTATCTAGTTGAATTTAAAAACAAAACTCAAATATGGCTACTGATCTAGAGAAATTGCAGATATCTCAGGCTAAAATGAACAGTCTATGAATACCATCAGTTTTGTATAATATATTTATATAATTTTTTTGGTTACTATAATTTGTATAATATTTATGACACTATATGTGATGAATTTTAGTTACTTAATCACTTTGTTTTTGTTTTTTAACTTTTGACAATTATTTATATTTCTAAGGCTTTAATTATTGTATACAACAGTGACTGAAATACATATACCGTAAGATATCCACATAATAGTTTAGAAAGTTCTCCAGTATAGCATATAATTATGTTTGTAAGCTGTTTGACTGGTTATATAACATCATAATGAGTACAGTGAATTGTATGTATATGTTTATAATATATATGTATGTTAGCATTTACACATTACATATCATATGTAAGAGGTAGGCCGGGAAGTTGTCCGGATTGTTGGGATGTGTTATGTGATATCAGAGCGCTTATAACATTTTTCGAATGTCCATATAAAGTACAATAATCATATGAAAATGTTGATTTTTGTGAAAAGAATTTTATCCTTTGATATATGATCTCAATTGATTCTATATTATGTTTGTTTCAATTCGGCCTTAATATGTGTTTAGTTGTGAATAACTCTAGTGCGGTTGTATGTGCATTTAATGAAATTCTTTTAATGTTTGCATAAGTATCAGTCGAATTTACGTACTTTTAGATAACGTTTACATTCTTTAAATGTTTATAGCAATTTATTTGTAAGGGAAACTTGAATGTAAATGTATTTCTAAAGTGTCGTCCACAAGTTACATGCAAAAAATATCAAGCCAATGTTATAGAAGTTAAGGGAGCAAATTGCAATGTACAAAGTTTATACATATCTAAGTCTAGTTTGATATTAATTGCAGGACTTAGTTTGTCATTGAATTTGCGTAATTTGTGTAGCAATTTATGGACAAAATGTAACATTTTGTATAATGCAATTTGCGTTCACTTTAATACAACTCAAGAGTCAATTATAGATGTTCAAAGATTTTTTTAATATATATAATAATAGTATTAAGTTATTTTTTGTTATAAGTTCAAGAGTTTGCCGCCTAAAGTGCAATGGTTGTAATGTTCGACATCGAAAAATATCGTCGTCCATGTTGATTTAAGTTATGAAGAATATTGTGTGTGTATTGGTTTATTTAGGTTATTGTCAGTCGGTATGTCTCACATTTGTTTTAGAAAGACTTCCGACTGTGTTTCATCAGCTAATCAAGATAATTAAGTACAAGCAGTCGTTTTTATTATGAGGTAGTAGAAAGTTGTATGTCATAGTTGTGTGCTTGTTTAGAATGGTAGCTGCTCTTTCGTTAGTTGTTAATGCCATAGACATATATTAATGAATAGTATTTTTAGTGTATCTATTGGTGTAAGAGATGTGCGTAATCTTTGAAGTATGGTAATGATTTAAAATTGTTCATCATCATAATAATCATACATGTTCTCTTTAGGATAGTGTTTAGTAGCCAGTTATCCTAGTGAGTCTGTCCTTTTTTAGGATCTGTCATGATTTACTTTGCAATAATAATAATATTGGCTATAATAAATGCGCAAATAATTACTATTAAATAATATCTTATTTTTTATATAATTGTATTTTTTGTAAATAAATATACAATACATTGAAATTATGAAACATCAAAATATTACACCTGTGATATAATAAGTACCAAGAACGCCACAAATTTTTCCATTAAATTGCCAATTTATGTAAATATACATAAAATGTTCTATAATTTGGTACATTAAGTAAAGTACATTAAAAAAAACTAAAATCCATTTACGAATTATTTGAATGTGTATAATAATCAAATGCTAAGAAATGTGTTTTTGCTGATGTCAACATGGATTTACGATATTTTTATGTAAGATCAAGTTTGTTGATTAATGTAAGCCGGCTCTTGCATATCGAGTTTGAGTGTTTTGATTGTATACCACATGACATTGATGTGAGATCTAAACACTGCCAACTCTGCATTATCTGTTGATTTTTTACCATTGTATCTAAACAACTGTTCTATACATGTCTTGAAGGGTCAGTTCCTTAGAAATAAAGGATAGAATGTTTTGGTACAATGTGGAAATAAATCATTTTAAATATTTAGTAAGATAAATGCAACTACACTTTGTGTCCACCTTCTGTCCAGTCTATTGTGAAAATCACTTTGTCTTAAGAAATACAATTATATCTCTTGTCCTATTTATTACTTATTTTATCTTTGATACGTAATAAACAATGACAAAAAATTAAGTCGCTTTAGTGTTGCCATCTAAAAATGTTTTAATGTGGCATTAATCCTTAATAATTCCAAATATATCTGATTGAATTTCTTAAGACTTGTAGGAGGTATATTTTTAAGTATTTTAAGTATTGTTTTTACTTTTGTGACCAATAAAAGTTTTAAATTTCTAATAATAAGATAGTTTTAAGTAATTCCAAAAGCAGTAAATGAGAGACTTGTGCGTGTTTTATCCATCTTAGTATTTCTGTGATTGTTAATTTCTTGTTGTAGTTCCAACTCGTAAATCAATGTACATCCAAAAGTAGAATTTTGTCAAAATGCATGAAAATGAATGTAGTGTTGGAAATAAATGTTATTTTTTGAATATAGTGTTTCATTTCACTAAAACGTGGAATAGCATAAATACTTTTTGAACATGTAATTATTGGTTTTTATGAAAAAAATAAATGGACAATATTAGATGCTAGAATTTATATTATTATCATCTACAACATACATCAGAAGTTTACTTTGTAGCTTTACAAAAAATTACTTAGTTTGGTCCGAAAGAGGACCATTGCGTCTTTCCCACACCATGCGATGCTTTTGTTTCATTAAAGCTTTTCTGGCATCAGCATAAGCACCAAGATCTCCATCTGCAAATAAGTAATAAACATTGTTCTAACTATACATTTTTTGTCATTAGTAAGCAGTAGGAGATTTTGACATGCAATTTATAGGAATTTATGAATTGAGGAAAAATTACTTACATTTAATGAACCATGCTTCCTCAGCATTCTTATATCTCTCCCAGAATGGTTTGCAAATAGTAAGGTGGTCTGGTTGCTCATACATCATACAATCTTCATAGCGCATTCGAAGAATACTGAGGATTTCTGAATCAACAGCTCTGAAAGGTTATTAAATTCTTTAATTAAGCGACTATGTTTAATTGCAATTTTTACCATACTTATCAAAGATAATTTATTTGGGAAGCACAACAGTCTAACCTGTCTCGTTTGAACTGCGCGTTGGCTTCAAAGTCACACACAGGGTCGTCTTCGTAACATTGATCAATTGTAGGCACACGCCTGAACTGCCGATGGTACCAAGGATATTTTTTCTGATTTGGTTCGACCACCTTTTCTGCAATATAAATATAACTTTATAACATAAAAGTATGACTTACATAACACACAAAAACAAAAATATTGTAACGGACCTCTAAACCACGTAACTGGGGCATCTACCGTGGCGTAAAGGCTCTTGGCAAAAGCCCTAAACAAATTATCATCTTGTGGAGGATCTCCTTTTACCATTCTGTATATTTATTGAAGATTTTCGAAAAGAATATTTTATATTGGTTGATGTAAAATCAGAGCAAATTTGACGTTTTGTTTGACACTGACATTTGACAACCACAGATACAAATTATGGTTCAATTATATAAAATTAAACATTACTTCATTAAATTACTACCATTCCAAGTCTTGTAAGTTAAAATGAATTAGTTTCTATCTTTTATAATTATATAAACAATTAATTTTAGTAATTATAAATAAAATCTGCGGAAAGGCCTTGTCTATGTTTTTGTTTTCGTTGAGCGCTGAACGCATTCTTCTTTCAGAGATAACAAACAAAATGGCGCTTCTGTCAGTTGCATATCAATATTTTCTAATTGGTTTTCAGTACAATGTTTGAAATACATTAGAACTAAATAAATTTGTTTGGTTTGTCATAATGTCGACCAATAACCTTTCATCAGTTTTGAAGTCCTGCTCTGAGGGTGAGTTGATTAACGAGGTTGCAGAGACTGGCATGACACCAAAACAGGTGGAAGGATCCCGACTAAAACGTACTTTTACTTTACCTCGGAATCCCTTCGGTACTACAAAACCTAGTTCGAGTAGAAATAAAAGCAACGAAAGCGATAATAAATCTACAACAGGCACAATTATTGGTACAACTCAAAAAGACGAGGGTATCGTTGAAAGGAAGTTGTTTAGAAGGCCATCATGGAAGATATTCTTGAATAAAATAGCTCAGCACATGAGTACTGTGAACGTATCGGGAGTAAGTGTACATTCATCGTATTTGTACATTGCGTGCCAAATAATGTTGCGTCATTATATTTGTTTTTCTTGCTCAAGGTTAAAACAGTCCCCACGATAATAAGCAATGAGCGAGTGCCGTGCAGCGGGGACCCGCCGTGGCCACCGGGGGCGACGCCGGCCGCCACTGGAATCAAAAACCACGGGAATACTTGTTACATGAATGCAGTTCTTCAGTGCCTTTCACATACTGATGTCATAGCTGAATACTTTGTACTAGACCATTACAAGGTAAAGTACATTTTTTGTTAAATACCAAGATTTTTTCATTATGGAACCAGATAGTATGTTAGGTTGATTAAAAAGTATACAAGGTAAATTTACAACATACTTAGTGTGCTGAAAATATGTATGTATTATCACTTTTTATGATCTGTTATGTTCAAGATATTCAAAGCAAGGTTTTTCTAAAAAAGGAATGAAATGTCAGTAGGATATTTGAATGTAATGAAAAATGCATTATTGTCAATCCATTATTTTTTTAGGTGGATTTACAGAAGAGAAATAAGATAAATTCGAAAAAATATGGAACTCGTGGCGAAGTTACGGAACAATTAGCTGCCCTCCTGAAAGCATTATGGTCATGTAGATATACTCCTGATATGAGTATTGCGTTCAAGGTAATGCTATATTTTTCTTAATATATATCCCTACAAATTTCTTGGATTAATCTTTCACACACATTGATACTACATAATGATAAGATTTTCACTACACTTTACATAACATATTGAATGTCATAGTTATAACAGACTGAAATCTTATCACATTTTATGTTTAAAATTGTATAACATGCTATAAATAAAAATTGCATTCAATTGATAACATGGGTTGACTGAGAAATCTGATCAAAGCAAAACCTTTAATTTAATTTCTGTTTGTTTTGATTAAAATTATAAATATGACCTTTTTGTTTTAGTGGACATACTGTTAAATATTTTTATAACATGTTTTTGTTAATTTGATTATGAAGTGATAACCTTGTTATCAGGGTGCAGTAGAAAGGCATGGCTCGCAATACCGGGGCAACAGCCAGCATGACGCGCAGGAGTTTCTCTTTTGGCTACTTGATAAAGTGCATGAAGATTTGAACACAGCCACTAAGAAAAAGTATAAAACTATCAAGGTTTGAATGTTTATGTATTAAAAAAAATATACCAAATGTGTTGTTAAATTTAGGGCAAGTTTACTCTTTAAATGAATTTGCTATGTGGGGCAAAATCAGGGAGATGACCAAAAAATGTGAAATAAACATTTTTACTATAGGACCAACAGTGATGTTAGTCTTTACATAATTAGAACATAATTTTAATCACTACAAGAAGCCACTGCAAGTTTTAAACTTGCATCTTATTAGATTATTTCACTTGGAAGCCACATAATACATCACATGTTCATATCTGTGCAGTCTGCCAATATCTACATAAAACTGGAATCTTATTTAAATAATTATATTAACAAAGATAATTAAAGAAATTATCTTTAGGATAAAAACACAAACTATTATAAATAAGTTGCAAATCTTGATGCACTTTTGTAATTTATTTCATTGAAAAAACTAGCTGTTACCCGCAACTCCTTGCTTGTAGAATTAAAAAAAAGGACTGAGTTAGTATCCAATCTTGAAGTGGTGACTGTATGTACTCTTCAATCGATTTTCTAGATTCCAATTTCCATCCTGATCTAGTTTAGCTATTTTCATGTTATATGTAACAATCATCAATTTTTTTGCATACAAAAACACACATTTTTTTAGAATACAGGAGGTAAGTCAGATGAAGTGGTGGCGGCGGAGACATTGGCGAACCACGCCCGGAGGAACAGCTCCTTTGTGCAGTCAGTTTTCCAAGCTCAGTACAGGTAAGTTAAACAAATCATTATCTAGCATGTTCAGTGTCACTGAAAAAATGTCATATTAAAGTGAAAACTAAGTAGCATTTAATGTGTTGGGTTTATGGCAAAAGTAAAGCCTATGTATTCTTTCAGACTACCCTCTACATCTATCTATATCAACAAATTTCATCCAAATCTGTTCACTAGTTTAGACTACAAACTCTAAGAAACATCCATACATACATGCATCCATCTAAATTTTCCCATTTGTAATATTGGTAAGATCATTTTCAAGGGTATAGCTAGTTTTTGTTAAAATTTAAGTCTGTTTTGGTTCAAGTAAATTGCATATTAAAGAATATAAATCTACATTTCAAGGCTGTTACAAATCTCGTAAGATAAGTAACTTGTTTTGGAGGCGAAGTAATTAATTTAATGAATGAATTAAGAGCATTGTATTTCCGCATACGATTATTTGTTTTACTATCTCCAAATTGTGCTTTATGCGGATTATAATAATAACTATTTCGACTACGTTTTTCCGAGTTGATGTTTATTCATTTATGTTTGCAATATGTGTCTGAAAATAGAATATTTATTCAACACTTACATTAACTTCTTATTATTCTTTCGTTGAAATTTTTATAACACTACCACACTTATAATTTAATGGTTACTGAATAAGGCTTTTAGTATGGATTTCTCATACTTGATCTACATTCATATAAATCCTTAGTGATCTTCCAAGGTAACCATTGAACAAAACTTACTGTGGCTGTGAGTTATTTAATTATATCTAAGGTTATGTCCTTAAAAAATATGAATTGAGGATAATGTATAACTTAACAAGTACTTTTATCATGCTTATTGCCCTTTTATCAACAGCTTTACATACTTTCCTTAATTTATGTCCAAAAATTTTGTAGTTGAAAATAATACGTTTAAATGTTAATAAGCAGAGGTAAATTTATAAAAAAAATATACTGTAAATATACATATATCAATAAGTTACAACTTGCTGGAAATAAATGGCTTTTTCATTTTTTAATTTTATTAATTTTTAATGTACTGATTTAGTATGTGATGTTGAATGTTTCTGTGTTGAGGTCTGCGCTGACGTGTGCGAAGTGCGAGCGCACGTCGTGTACGTTCGACCCGTTCCACTGCGTGAGCGTACAGCTGCCCACGCGGCTCAACACCGTGCAGCCCTCGCCGCTGCCCGTCAATGTGAGTTACACTTTACACCATACACTTACACTCTAATCTTCAATCTTCTCAAAAAGTGTATAGCAACCCAAACGGGGGATCAATATTGATTAAATTCTGTATTTCTATTTATTAACTCATTTAACCCTTAAATGTCTGAAGTTTTAAATTCAATACCAGGATTATAAATCGCATTGCACACCTACAAATTTTATTTTATTATTAACCTGTTTACATGTTACCTTTGACTGATAGTCTTCAAGTGTGAAAACAAAAAGGAGCCTATCTCGAAAATGTTGTTACCTTTAAAGGTAATGATTTCTCGACAAGTTGGAAGGATAATATATAAAAATTTCTTTTTTTTAATATTTCACTCCATTAGTAAATACAGTAAATGTAACCTACACTTATGCATTTTTTAATTAATTTAGAAATCTGGTTAATCAAAATAATTAATGTTTTTTTTATTTGATTATACAATTCCCCTAGCATGAAAGCCAGAGCCTTTAATATTCTTTATTTAATTCATTTGCAACATTAAATTTGCTATCTTTTAAAAATTAATGGTTAAGGACGCTTGACGAAGTGTGTAAGTGTATAGGAAATGTGTGTCAGGTGGTGTACGTGAACCAGCAGCCGCGGCAGGTGCGCATCGGCGTGGAGCTCCCCCCCACCGCGACCATGGAGGAGCTGCGCACCGCGCTGCACAACGACACCGGCATCGACGCTCAACATATTATACTCAGCGAGATCAACGAAACAGGTATGGTATTCAATTAGCGGCTGATTGAATGAGTATGAATGACTAGCTTTCGCCCGCGACATCGGGCGAATCCGCGGGAAATTAAAAAGGACAAAATTGGGGAGCCTATGTGTTCCATACTTTACGTTTATGTTTAACTTTAACTAACCTCCATCCATCCATCTAAACTTTCGCATTTATAATATTAGTCTATACTAATGTATACTAATATTATAAAGAGGAAAACTTTGTTTGATTGTAATAAATAGCCTCAAAAACTACTGGGCCGATTTTAAAAATTCTTTCACCGTTAGAAAGGTAATTTATCTGTGAGTAACATAGTTATATTTTTCCCATTTCCTTTTTGTTATTTTTAAATTTCATGCGGACGGAGTCGCGGGCTAAAGGTACTAAGATATATATTAAGGTGTGTTGTGTTGGCAGGATGGTGCAACGCGCGCTCGGGCTGGGAGGTGGCGGGCATAGACTACGGCGCGCTGTACTGCCTGGAGGCGCCGCCGCTGCTGCAGACGCCCACCACGCCCTACCTCCTGCTGCTGTGGGTCAACCTTCTCGACGGGGAACGCTTTGGTATCTACACATTTTATAAAAACATAACATTATATACATACGCTTTCTTGTTTCTTCATATGGAAAAGTCTGTTTTTTTATTTTATATGTATTTTCGCATAATGGTGCTTTATTAATTTGTATTCATCATATTGTATTAGAAATAATTTTATGAGCAGTAATGTAGTAGTTTTAAATAGCAATAAAACGCCCTTGATCGTGTGTGGAGTGAGGGCGGTGACTGATAGCGCGAGCCACGGTGACGCCCTGTCCTTGTACTTTGTCGCTTGTTGCTTACGAAGGTTATTGATATTTTAATTCATGTATTTGAAGAAAATAATATGTAACGTATGACATTGTACCATATTAATTATAAAACCCGGCTTAACTTACATGAAAAATTCGGTATAGACACCGATCAGATCCGCTAGAGCCAACAAATCCACTTATTCACTCACCCTGATGATGCACCCCCGACGGATTCGACTCTGGTCGGTGCCTATACCAAATTTTCCATGTAAGTTAAGTCATGCTTTATAATTAATTCATACTATACTAATATAAAGAGAAAATATTTGTATTTTTATATATTTATTGCAATAACTTAAAAACTACTGGGCCAATTTCACCATTATAAAGAAAGTATGGTTTTTTTAGTTTTGACGCGGGCGAAGTCGTATAA